CCCCCCCCCCCCCCCCCCCCCTCTTTCTTCAGGAAACAGTTGAGACAACAGGATATATGTCGAACACATATTTGAGTCAAAATAACCGAGGATTTATCCGTTCTCTTCACGAATTCAGCTCACAGCGAGGTGCAGTTATGATTTTTATTGATAAAGCGGCTTGTGGTTCTGGTGCTTGTTTGCTCACAGCTCTGTAATGGTTTCACGGAGAGAAGTTCTGAAGATATCTTTGGAATCTGTATGTTATTGGCGTGCTTTCTGCTGTTTCGGTTTTCCGTGTTAGCCTTTAGCTTCTTCTTCGCGCCTACCGGAGTGCGTGGTCGGCTCAGCAATGGCAAAAGAGTGATATTGTGGTAATTGTTTTAGATGCTTATATTAGTCGTGTAGAATTGTGTTTGGAGTGTGTAAAATGGCTTGGATGATATTGTTCCCCAGAATCTCTTCTTTAACTGGGTATATAACATGTGTGTAACATTCATTATATTCGTTTCTGAAAAGTGCATTCTACAACACGCTGTACGCTAAACACCCCCCCAGGGGGCTCTCGGGTGAGGAGAGTTGGAAAAAGAAAAGGCTTCAGTTGCATCCAAAGGGGGAAGAAACATCCACTAACTTGTCAATAAGAGGCCAGGAAAGTAGAGTTGCTTGCGTGTGCTGCCGCATTAGAATACAAAATTGAATAAGAAAAGGGAGAACTTGAATTTAACGCAAGGAAGGAAGGAAGGCCTGTCTATTGATACTGAGGTCACAGAAGCCATGAATATAATAATGGATGATGACCTGCAGATAGGAATGCCAGAAAAATGAGTCCTGCTTGAGAGATCCTATACCTTAAAGGAAAAGTCGTATGTTTTGGCTGTCTCACCAGAGGACTTCTCATCAGAAGTTGGAGAATAGAATGATCTGCAAAGACAGACTGTTTGAATAAAGGCACTAAATCTGATCATACAGACATGTATTTCTGGATCAAGGAAGCTCTGTGACCTTCTGCACTAAAGGCCTCAGACAGCAGTTACAAGTCCAAGGAAAGAAAAGGAGAATCCTGTCGCGCACTGAGTCAACAGAACATAGCAGGAAGCAGTTTACTGGACTTGAAGTGAGCAGTCTTGATGGAGAGGGATTTCTTTTTGACTCCCTAAAATACAGCCAGGATGAAATTCCAGTCATGACGGAGCACAAGGTGGAGTGATCCAAAGATGGCACAACTTAAGTCTGTATCCCTCACAACAAGTTGATCTTCTTTCTTTAGGCTGCTGTGGCATATCCTGTTTAGGTACCGTATCTCTCACACACACACTGGACAACCGCTGCTTCTCATAGTATATAATGTCAAAAAGTAGGGATGCACCGATCCACCTTTTTCAGTCCCAACAGTGATACCTGGGCTTTATGTATCAGTGTTGAGTCACTGAGCGGGGTCACTCTTTTATGTATTAACATTGATTTCATAACATTGTAAAGCAAAATGTAAGAAAAGCAATACATGGATATAAATGTAGTTATCTCCAAAAAAAACAATGGTTTATTTCAATTGCTTGCTAGCAGTCACACTGCTTGGCTCTGTTTTGGTCTCCACCATCTCCTGAGGGAAATATCCGACTCATTAGCTGCTGAATGTTCACCATGGAGTTGCTGACTCAGTCTGTTTGTGCTGAGCAGGTAGTGTACAGTGAGTCTATTGAAATGAGTAAGACTGAACCAAAACAGTACCGAGGGCTGTGAAACCAAATGATGATCTTAAAGATGCTCAAACAGTCCGGTGAGGTGATGATTCTGTGTGTGTTACAAGGAACACCGTTCACACACGTTATCATTTTATGCACAGATGATGTAAAGGTAGATAAAGAGCAGCTTTGAAAACAGGTGATCCACCACTGAACGCTGGCTGCTTTTTATTTGGGAAGTTCCATTTTTTTTGCCGAGAGGATCTGCAGTTACAAGCAGGACGCTCACAGTTGACGTGTTGCTTTCCGACATCGGGATCACTATTAAGGCTATTACTTGTTGACTGGGATGGATTCCCTATCTCAGGTGTCTACAAGTTGAATTTCATATTGTCCTGAAATCAATAGCTGCCTTGAATTTAGAAATAAATATAAGGATAAGTTTGGGAAAGTGGTAACAGAAATATGAAGCCAATTTGTAGTTTAGGGACTAAACCTGAAAAAGCTGCTGTTCAGCCAACCCTTACTTTAAAGGGATAGTTCAGATGTTTTCCAGTGGGGTTGTATGAGGTACTTATTTATAGTCAGTGCTACTTCCTGTGTTAATGTGTGACTTTGGAATTTTAAAGCGTTAGTTCAGATTTACCAAAGTCACATAATACAAACTAAACAATGTAGGCAGCAGTAGAGCAGCAACTTGTGTTCTGAGGTAAAATAACTTTTTGTCAATGGAGTCTGTGGCTTTGAGCACATAGATGCTTTAACAGCTTCTAAATAAAACCTAGAGTTAAACTGATGTAGATTGTGTCTAAAATACGTCCACAGCAGTACATTGCTACATATACCGTAGTAATACCTCATACACTCACACTTCTAAACATCTGAACTCAGTTCGTCTGCATCATAAAGTACCTCAGTTATGTTTAGTGGCTGAACTCTGACCTCCCTGTATACCTCTTCTCCATGTGCTTGTGCAGACTCACTCTCCTGACAGCTTTGTTACACCTTTGATCATCTTTATATGGAGACCCGTGACCCAACCAGAGGTCTACTCCACCAGAGGAGCTGTGGGGGGGTGCAGGCTCTTTAAATTAACGTCTTATTCACACAAACGGGCAGAGGTGGAAAGACAACAACCAGACGGGCAAAGCAAAGCTTTTGGTATTAATGTGGTCAACCAGACACTTTTAATTTCAAATTAGCTTTTTAACAATGATCGTAGAACCTGATCGCTGTCAAATGATTGAAGTACACCAAAGAGGCCCGGAGCTCTGCAGAACCCAGACCTGCCCTCTTTCCAATCCTGCTGCTCAGAGACAAATAAGATCACAACTTAAAAAACACACACAGCGTCACTCTGGCCCTGTGAGTAAGTGCTTGGTGGAGAGAGAGAAGAAAGGAACAGACAATAGTAATCTCAAGATTGCTTGTAAAATTACTTTTAAATGTAGATAATATTTGTATATAGGTAGATGTTTGGTTGATTTAAGGGGGATAGCAATAAGAACTTAAAGGTCAATACAATCAGAAGGTCTTAGCTCACTAGCTAGGTCAACAGAACCGGTTATACATGCAGTAAAAAGAAAAATTTAAAAATCAGAACGATCAAGTTGAGATTATATCCAAATTTATCGGCCCAGAACTACACCAGATCCAAGTCTGCGACGCCAGATTGATTCTTTTTAAAAAGACCAAAAAAAAAGTTGAATTTAATTTTTAAATATAAATGGCTAATTGACATTATTGCACATGAGCAAAAGACAGTAATACTATTAGAGCTCTGTTCAACGACCTGCCCCTCCACCACCACCTCGCCCTTCCTGAAGCACTTGAGAACATTCAGAAACCTGGAGATGTTCCATCAACCGCTACCAGAGACAGACGAAAGAAACACGCAACCAAAGGATAAGAACCTTGATCTGAGACGACAGACGGGACAGCCAGCAGAGATGAGGGGACAACACTTACATTGTGCTATAATGTACAGTAAATGGCTGCATAAGTGCTTTTTCTTAAACTTGAAAAAAAAAAAGTTTTCCAAAAAAAAACCAAAGTATTTATTGTTGAGGCATCATTGAAAGTTAGCCTGTGCTATCCATTCAGGGGTGACGATGTAAAATCCCTAACAATGGGATTCCAACAGCTTCGGACAAGTGGGAGAGAAATCTTTCTGGACATAGAAAAATAATAATAATGATGTTACCCCTCGGATTCTGTCGTTTCAAAGATCGCTGCTACATTAAAACCGCACGTAATTATGTGCAACATCAAAAAAAGGCGTTGAAGATGATTCCTCTACACTCTTCTGTCTGTTGGTTTTGTTTGTCACTCTTTTTTTTTTTTTTTTTTATGTCCCGCCGCCTCATTATTGGTGTTGATTGGCAGTGTCCAGGTCCAATAACGTGGCCGAGTGATTCAGTAAAAAAACACCATAGTTGCTGTGAGGTTATTTAGGGGAGGAGTCCCTCTGGAGGAGGCTGACAGTCCACGGCACCGTCACTGATGGTTAGCAGTGTAGCTCAGACCGGCCCGTTGACCGACACTTCCTGGGGCGGTGGCGTTTCCTCTCTGTTAGGAACAGAGGAACACGGTCACATAAACACAACCTGAGAGGATGAGCAGCCACTGGAGGGGGTTTAACTGGGAGAAAACACACGGCTACACAAAGCCTTTAACCGCCATCCCTCCCTGATCACAGAAAGTTTGAATTAGATACTCAATGCTCTCTGTAGTAAACCTCAGTTTCATTGGTGAAAAGTATCTTGCTGAACAAAACATACAGGTCACACCAATTTGTGGTAAACAAAGTTTATTTTCTGCAATAATCCAGAAGCCAATGGAAAAATCCTATTTGAATTTTTGTCGAAAGCGAGTGCGATGCCAACTTCTGGGTTTCTTTACAAAAATACGTCATCCCTGCAGCACCTATAAAACTGTCAATTACTATTTTGTGCAGCTACACAGCTGGTAACACTTCCTGTGCGGTGCTTTGACTCCATTCATCTGAATAAAATAGTAAAGAAATGCTCATCACAAGTTCTTAAGGCCCAAAGTGATGTCATCAAATGGCTTTAGTCTGACCAATGTTCCAAAACTTAAAAATATTAACTCCATTATCAAAGAAAAGTAGCATTGATTACATTTCTCCAGAGTGAGTAATCGAAGAGTTAACTCCTTATTTCAGTCAATAAGTCGACTAATCGGTAGTTTAGGTTCTTCAGTCGATTAGTCGTTTTTATGCTTTGACTTATTTCAACAAAGTCATGAGCACATCTCTGGTAAACAAGATTTAAAGCGGTGTTTGTGTGTGAAACTCGAAGGTTGACTAAATCAACTAATTGATTAGTAGACACAAACACTTAAGAGCTTCAGCCCTAACTTCTATACAGTGTCAGCAGAAGGGCACGTACTTCCTGTCTGTCTGTGTGGTGGCAGGTGAATCCTCAGCAGGCTGCTGCTCCGACGCTTTAGGAGGATCTGACAGAGAGAGCTTCTCCAGAGATGCCGGACTCTCCTCACTGCAGGACACAGACCAACGTCACCCATTAGTCCACTGTAGTACACTTCAGGGTCAAGTCAGTGTCTTTCAACTTTTGCTTCATTTTTGTTGTGGGCATCAGCCTCTGGACACTGGGTGTGTAGCACGCATCCAAGACCAAGCTACGTAAATGATGCGGACACGGCGCCGAAAAAACTGGGGGATGTTAATTATTAACCATAACCGATGCCAACAGTAAGAAGAATCTAAAAATTCCACCTTAAAGGTCAGCCCACCTTAAGGCTAGAGTTGTCACCAACTTCAGGGCTAACCCGAGTTAGCCTGTTTTGGGCATTCACTACAGCTGGTGTTGAATAATTTAACCGGTTTGGCATTGCCGCTGGGAGGCTTGTTAGGCTCTTCAACCACAGCAGCCCTGCATGCAAGGCACTGATCTTAACGGTTAATGATCCGTTAATGAGTGTCGGCTATTGGTCAGAAAAATAGTCCAGAATTAGCATAATTCACTCATTGCTATAACTAAAACAGGATTTTTTTTCCCCAACTGCAAAAAGTAATAACATTGCGTTTGCTACCCAGCTGTCAAGCTCCAAACTTCTTTTGGTTTCTGTAGAGAACCAGAAAAGCTCTCAGGATGTACTTTACTTCAAAAAGGCAATTTCAGATCCCAGTCCAGTCTATCATTACCTCAATGTGGTAATTATGTTTCAAATATAGCTGTTTCTACACACAGACCAGCTGTTTGTGTGTGGCTGCAGAGTGGACTGGTCACCAGAGGAGGATTTCACCGCTCAGCATCTGACAGCAGAGCTTCCAGCTAAAAAGTTACAAACCTTTTGAGGTCTGCTGTCTTGTTGCCGGGGGTGCCGGCTGTTTCCGAGGCGACGGCAGCGGCGTTTTTGTCGTCCTCCTCACTGTCGGATCCCCCGGAGGAGCTGCTGTCTGAGGCCACGAGAGGAGCCTTTCTCCCTTCTCCCACCGGCCAAGCTCCAGAGGAGGCACTCGCATCTGCTGACGCAGAAACAAAGACAGAACACACAAGTTTGTCAATCATGATGTGTGTATGAGCCGTTCAGGGGCGTAAGTGTGCACCTCTAACAGACACGGGCTGTTGTCAGCTGAGCTCTGAGGATGCAGGGAAACACTCACCACTCTTCTCTGGGTTTTGTGTGGCTTGTGTTTTTGCGTCACTGCTGCTTGAGTCCACAGGAGAGCTGCACCTGGGATCACTCTCTGTACTGTAGACAATCCAGAGGAAAGCAGAGAGTTAACAAGTGGTGAAGAATGACACCATCTGTGAACAATGACTCAAACCGTAAAATAATATAATACAACTGTTTAACGGCACACCTCAGTCTACAGACTAACAACGTCCCACTGTGTGAAAAGACACGAGCTATTCAATAGATCATGATCACTAAACCTGTCCTGTGGATCATCTGATAGTCTTTACATTTTAGAGCTTTTGTTTTCCTCCCAGTATTGAAGCTGAAGTACTTCAGCCGTAGCACATTTGTGTTCACAAGTCCACTATAAGTGACAAATGTTCGGATTTCTCTAAATGTTGACTTTTTGTTTTGCAATTCTAAAGCTTTCGGCTCGGGGGCCACATTGAGTTTTAAAATTTGACAGGCTGGCCGGGCCAGTAGCGGATGAATGGAAAGTGTTTGTGTGAACTAATATAGATTACAAGTGAAAGCCATGACCTAAAAAGTAAAGAACTTACATTTTATTTCAGTGGGAATAGTGTTGTTGGTCACCCTTTTTTGCTAGTGCATCAACGTTTGGTTGTGGCAATTCTCAGAACAGATCTGAGGTGTTCATCAGTGAAAGACTGGTTTTTTTAGCAATTTGCTTCTTTGAAGGGCTCATACAGATGCTGTGTTGAGTCTTTCCTTGTCTCTCCCCCTGTGTCACGGTGTGGGTACATCTCACTGGAGTTAGGAAACGTATCAGAATACCCTTGTTTTATTGGCTAAACTGCATCACGTGACGTGATTTACAACGCATTAGTCTGTTTTTCCTGCACCGCTGAACAAGTGCCGTGAATAACTCCGCTGCATAAAGCAAAGGCCCGCGACCCACTGAAAACGGGTCCGCGACGAACTACCTGTTGAGAATCACTGGTCTACAGGATCGTGACGAGCGGTGAACAGTGTGTGGCGTGTCTTACATCTCTTCCTGTTTCCTTCACCTACATTCCCCTGGGTCCTAAGCCCCTCCACGTACAGCTTCTTATCACCCTCTATGTACCAACGTACGTTTATAACAAATACCACACATATTACAGTAATCAGCGTTGCATATGTGTCAAGCTATCGGTGCATCTCCAGTCTGTCTTTGTTCATCCTGCATCGCTCTGTTCTGTTCTTTAATGCAACGTTACTGGAGCGACGGAGCCTCTCCAAGCTGTTAGCAGACTGTTGTGCTAGCAGGCTCGCGAGTGCGCTGTACCCAGCATGCAGTTCGGTGGTGAAATTTTTATAAATGTACAATTATTAGTGTTACAATTTGTTGATGTGTCACAGACTGTTATGTGCTGTTGTGTTTTGCTCTGTTAAAGAGCGTTAGTTGTGGGTTGTTCATTGTTGTGTTATAAAGTTATGACCATGACTAGGGTTCCCTCTCAATACATATAAGAGAACTAGCTCCGACCCCAGTGCTTTCAGCAGCGAACAATACATTTAGCTGCCTGTTGAAGACAGACAGCAGTTGTTTTGGCTATGCACCGGTATGATGGTGTGAAAAATTCATATCATACGGGAAATTAAAACCGGTATACCGCCCAGCCCTAGTCTTTATTTTAGTTTGGGCAATTTTGTACCAATATTTGACGGGCCGGATTAAAAAGCCCAACGGGCCGTAGTTTGCCCATGCCTGCTTTAGACAAAGGTTTGAGACGGAGATTGTCCCGTACACACTCTGTACTTCAAAACTAAAATGACCGGAGAAACTACTGTCTGAACTAGGAACTACAAGTCCTTTATGCGTTTCCTGTTTGTGTTTGAAGAACCACGCAGATTAGACAAATTATACCGCTGGATTAAAAACCAACAGCTGTGTTTGAGACACGGCTGTTGTCCTTCGTGTTTACTGCTGTGTCACTGTGATGTTTGAGCTGGATGGAATGAAAAGGACATGAAGAGGTGGAAAAGAAGAGTGAGTGTTCAACTTTAGCTGCAGGGTTTGTGTTGAATCAGCGTCTGTTGAAACTTTGCCTCTATTGTTTCTGAACATCTAGAGAGCAGACACTTTTTGCCACCTGGAACAATCAGGAAATACATTTTCCATCACTGTTTTTCTTGAAGACCGACCTAGCAGACCAGCTAATGTGGGTCAATATGTTGGCTTCTCACCCGGAGAAAGGCTGGAACTCAGTGAAGTTGGCCCAGCCACTTCCCTGCGTCTCTGCGCCACTCCTGGATGAGCTGTCCCACCCTGCTGGGGTTTGGGATGCTGCGGTCCCTCCAGAGTCCCTGAAATGTGCTGTCCAGCCTGGACCTGGAAACAAGACCAAAGAATAAAAATGCTCTTTCAAACTAAGACAAGAGGCTGTTCTCAAAGTTCCTCGGTTTACATGAGATTTGGCTGTGTTCTGTGGGTAGCTGCTGTCCTCGGACCGACCTGTTTCTGATGCATTCTGTGGGTAGCTGCTGTCCTCGGACCGACCTGTTTCTGATGCGTTCTGTGGGTAGCTGCTGTCCTCGGACCGACCTGTTTCTGATGCGTTCTGCTCACAGTCCTCGTCCTCATCAGATTCAGATCCGTGGTCCCGCTCCCTGCCTCCGTTCTCCATGCTGCTCCTGGAGCTTTCCTCTGAGGTTTGGGAGATCCCGAACCTGGTGGAGTGACAATGGATAGAAGTTGAGACGAAAGGGTTAACAGATAGAAGACGGAAACGCTTGGTGTTCTAAAAACTGCTTTGATGGGATGAAAACTAGAAAACAACCAGGTTTACCTTGTTCTGGATTTAGCTTGTGTTGCATAGTTCATCTCCTTCTCCTCCCAAATGTCCTCTTCTTCTTCAACGTCATCAAACTGGCGTATCCTCTCTTTACAGCAGGCTTCAAAAGCAGCCGCATTGGCCTGCACACAAACACACTTTTGAATGAAGTCAGTCTGTTGTCTCTTTGCGACCATGGTTAGACGGATTACCAATATGCAGCTAGTTCTGTAGCAGTGAGTGCTATATAAATATCACTGACAGTGAGAGCAGATTCAGTTTGATAGTTCATTCTCTAATTAAGACCCAAACAACAAAACCTCTGCGAATCGCCACCTTATCGTGGTGGAGTTTGAGTGGCTCAGTGATCCTGGGATCTATGTTGTCCGAGGCATTAGCCCCTGGTAGGGTCTCCCAAGGCAAACAGGTTTCAGGGGAGAGCCCAGACTAAGAGCGGTTCAAAACGACCCCTATGATAGTTAGCCCACGGACTATAGCCACCTCGCCCGGACCGGGGCACCCTCCCGGAGCCAGACCCAGGAGGGGAGCTCGTAGGAGAGCGTCTGGTGGCCGGGCCTTTGCCCATGGGGCCTGGTCGGGCTCAGCCCGAACAAACACCATGGAGCAACCACCCTGTGGACCCACCACCCGCAGGGACAAGCATCGGGGCCGGGTGCTATGCAGACCGGGCGGCGGGAGGCCTGGGCATGCCGATCGCTGGCAGCATAGACTAGATCTAGGGATGTGGAACGTCACCTCGCTAGCGGGGCAAGAGCCGGAGCTGGTGCAGGAGGTGGAGCGATACCAGCTAGAAATAGTTGGACTCACCTCCACACACAGCGTTGGCTCTGGAACCAAGCTCCTGGAGAGGGGTTGGACTTTGTCCTTTTCCGGAGTTGCCCAGGGTGAGAGGCGCCGGGCGGGAGTGGGGATACTCACGAGCCCCCGGCTGAGCGCCGCTGTGTTGGAGTTCTCCCCGGAGAGCGAGAGGGTCACCTCCATGCGCCTACGGGTTGCGGGAGCAAGGCTCCGACTGTGGTTTGTGCTTATGCGCCAAACAGCAGTTCGGAGTATCCGGCCTTCTTGGAGTCGGTGGGAGGGGTCCTGGAAAGGGCGCCGCCTACCAACTCCATAGTTCTCCTGGGGGACTTCAACGCTCACGTGGGCAATGACGGAGAAACCTGGCGGGGGGGTGATTGGGAGGAACGGCTTGCCCGATCTGAACCCGAATGGTGTTTCGTTATTGGACTTCTGTGCTTGCCACGGTTTGGCCATAATGACCACTATGTTCGAACATAAGGTGGCTCATAAGTGTACCTGGTACCAGAACACCTTAGGCCGGAGATCAATGATCGACTTTGTAATCATATCATTTGATTTGCGGCCGTATGTCTTGGACACTCGGGTGAAGAGAGGAGCAGAGCTGTCGACTGATCACCACCTGGTGGTGAGTTGGATCAGATGGCAGGGGAACCGGTTGGAAAGACCCGGCAAACCCAAACGTGTAGTGAGGGTAAACTGGGAACGTCTGGCGGAGGACCCTGTCGGGGAGGTCTTTAACTCCCACCTCTGGAAGAACTTCTCACACATCCCAAGGGAGGTTGGGGACACGGAATCTGAGTGGACCATGTTCAAAGCCTCTATTGTGGACGTGGACGCGGCCGCTAGGAGCTGTGGCCGGAAGGTCATCGGTGCCTGTCGTGGCGGCAACCCGAGAACACGGTGGTGGACACCGTCAAGCTGAAGGAGGCCTTCAAGGCCTGGTTGGCCCAGGGGTCTCCTGAAGCAGCTGACAGGTACCGGCAGGCCAGAAGGGCTGCAGCTGCGGTGGTCGCGAATGCTAAAACTCGGGCATGGGAGGAGTTCGGGGAGGCCATGGAGAAGGACTTTCGGTTGGCCTCAAGGAGGTTCTGGCAAACCATCCGACGGCTCAGGAAGAGAAAGCAGGGCTTACCCCAGGCTATTCTCAGCGGGCGGGGACTGCTAACCTGGACGGAGGACATCGTCAGGCGGTGGAAAGAGCACTTTGAGGAACTCCTAAACCCGACCAACATGTCCTCTGCAGAGGAGGCAGCGCCTGAGGACCTAGGGGGAAGCTCACCCATATCCCTGGCAGAGGTCGCTGAGGTAGTTAAAAAGCTCCTTGGTGGCAAGGCGCCGGGGGTGGATGAGATCCGCCCTGAGATGCTGAAGGCGCTGGACATAGTTGGGCTGTCCTGGCTGACACGCCTCTTCAATGTCGCATGGGGGTCGGGATCAGTGCCCATGGAATGGCAGACCGGGGTGGTGGTTCCCATCTTCAAAAAGGGGGACCGGAGAGTGTGCTCAAATTACCGGGGTATCACACTACTCAGCCTCCCGGGGAAGGCTTATGCCAGGGTGCTGGAAAGGAGGCTC